CCTTTTTTCTCTCCCTTTTTCGATAGACGAAGGAGGTAAAGTAAAAAAAAGAAAGGGAAAGGGTTTAGAGAGAGAGAAACTTGAGCTCTAACGAATATTTTCGTTATCCGTATAGCTATAATATGAATTTAACATACCCAAATTTCCTTTAAAATCTTCCTTTTTTCTCCCCTATTTTCGATGGACGAAGGAGGTAAAGTGAAAAAAAGAAGGAGGAAGGGTTTAGAGAGAGACTTGAGCTCTAACGAATATTTTCGTTATCCGTATAGCTATGATATGAATTTAACATACTCAAATTAATTACCTTTTCCCCTTCTCCATCACATTTCGAAATTTGTAATTAAGTCGGGCCGGCACGCGTACGTACGCTCGAGTCGTCGTCTAATTGCTCGTCCCTCCTCTTCCTCTCGCGCTCGAAATAAGCCGATGTGTAACGCAACCGCGGTTGGATAATTGGCCACAACGATTGTACCTCTGCGTGCTAAATTTTCCCTTTACTTGCCGGAGACAGAGAATCGCTCCTCCTCCCTTCGCGCCAATCCTCCCTCCAGATACGCCGTGCAACCACACACTTTAATTATCTTCTACGACAAGGCGCGTGCGCGCCATCCTTCGCGACAAACTGCATAAAAAGGCCACTTCGATCTTTCGCCCAAGGCGAGAAATTTATTAAAATTGAGCAAGTGCGAGGCCCTCTCCATCCAACTCGAACAATTCTTCAGAAAAGGACGGCGTCCTCGAGTCGACCGATTTCACCGGATAACGAGGAAAAACGCGAGGAGAAAAAGGAGAAAAGAATCCTAACCCTACCTTGCGTAAACTACCGAGTACACGCGTATGAAGAAGAGCTTGGAGATTATTCGTTTCGAATATAATTATTGGCCGATTATTTGAACACGCGAAACGCGGTCCCATCCCTTAGGGATCCCATCCTATTACCGTGATACACGATTATACCCTCCTTGTTGCGTCAACCGCATCCTATGATTTACAATGGAGGAGGAAGGAGGAGGAGGAGAGAGGACCCGCTTCGCTTCCTCTCTTTTCTCTCTCTTCGTTTTACGAGCGAACACAGTTTGTGACAACAAACGATGCCCTTTTCTTTTCATCTTTCAACTTTTAATACCGTCTGATTTATCACGGCGTCCTCGTGGGCGGTTGGGTCGAAAGGAAAGAGGCGATCGTGCGGTTTGCTCGATCGGAGGAGGAAAAGGAGGCGCATCGACGCGACGAGGGGAAAGCGAGACGGCGCGTTCGTAAAGGTATTCGAAAACGTGACGCGCCACGGTCTTTTGATTCGAGACGCGCGCCAAGGATACAGGGAGGAGGAGGAGGTGGAGGAACAATTCGCTTCCGCGAACGAATTCCTCTGTCTCCTCTGAGATTCGCGCGAGACACGGCGGCGGATTGTTACGAGAGATGATGCTGCCAACCTCTCGCGTGAATCACGTGGTGTGTGTGCGCGCGTGTGTACACGCGAGGCGGGTAGCGGTAGTGTGGCCGGCCGAGAATAAACACGGAGAATATTGGTATAATATGTAGATCTAAGCGTGTACGTGGGTCGTCGGTAATGCCCTCGTAAATCAAGCCCCCCATTGTTTTCCCTCATTGAACGACGGTGCCGTGGTTCGTTCGCCGCACGGTAGTCTCCTCGCATTCCATATTTCTGTTCGAGGGGAATCGGCAGCGCGAGCGATTTCACGGGATTGTTCTCCTCGCGCCGCGAGAATCGATCGTCCACGCGTGGATTAATCGTTGATTCACGGTGTTAAATTGATCGACGAGTGAAACGCCGAGAATCGGGACGGAGGTGAGAGAGAGAGAAAGAGATGGGTCTTGGAGAAAAGAATCGAGTTCATCAACGAGCTTTTCTCTCTCTCTCTCTCTCTTCAAAGATGTTCGAGAGAGCCGAGGCCGAGATTTACGACAAGAATTTCACGGAGGACGTGTGTATATGTGTGCTCGCGATCGGGACATCGGTTTCAAGAATCGAAACCGCAGAGAATGTTGGGAAGGAGGGGGAGGCGCGAAGATTGGGGGCGAGATCGGATTAACGGGGATTGCCCTTTCGAAGCCGGGCGTCCGTGGGGCTCTCTCGGTAATCAGCCCGGTTCCGCGATTAATGTTATAAATATTCCGCTAATGCCCGTTCCGTTACGCAACCGTTTCACCTCCTTATTGCTAGCAGCTGCATATGGAGAACGGCCACTCTCGCTGCTACTCTCGTCCGTCGATGATTTCATACGTTACTCGCTTGCTTCGAACCAGCAGCCCCACCTGGCCTCGCCCCCACGAGGGGCTGACAGAGAAGACGATCGAGTATCTTCGCTTTTATCTCCATTCTCTCTCTCTCTCGATCGCGCGTGGGAAAATGGATCGGCTCGCGTTTATAAACGCGTATGGTTCATAATTAAGAGAAGGCTGCCCCTCTCTCTCTCTCTCTCTCTCTCTCGAGCGCTCGTTAATTAATAGAAATTTTTCCAAGGTTTTTTTTATTATGGAAAAGAAAGAGGAGGAGGAGGAGGAGGAGAGCTCGTTTGCATTTAATCGCGGGCGAGAGGTTATTTCATCGAGCGAGACGTTTTCCCGTTACTTTGTATTTCGGGGGAGGATATAATAATACGATATATAACGCGATGAAATTGAATTTTATCGATTTTCAAACTCGGGAATAAAAGCGACGAGCGTTCTTCCCGATATTCACCGGATCGAGAATGGTTATAATCGATTTGTTGTGGAGCACGAGCGGCGCGTGCTATATTTGGATCGTTAATATCCGTGTCCAAAGGAGCCGATTCAATTTCAAGCCGCCGCAATCTCGCCGCATTACGGAAAATAGGGAGAAATCTAGCGGCGAAAGTAAACGTAACATCGGCAGCGAGGTTACTGTTGCAACTGGCCACGTAATAATGCAACATGTAATAATAATAATAATAAAAATAATAATAATAACAATAATAATAACAATAATAATAATAAGAGGATAATATGCGGTGCGCCGAAGAAGAATACCGGCAGAACGTGTACGCAATCCGCGTATTTTCACCCCGACGCCTTATCCATTCCTGTGGAGGGACGATCGAATTTTCTGTCCAACTTTGAAACACGAAAGGACGAATCGGGCGGAGGATCGAACGTAAATTCGACGCCACGGGTCGATAAGATAAGATCGATCAATTTGATTCTTGAATTCGTTACGTAAAGAAAGCTGTTTACCTAATTTCTGACGTTTTTACTTAATTTTATAGGAAGAGGGGGAGGGGAGGATTGCGCAACGACACATTATCTCACGTATTCCTCCTCGTATCGAGATAATAATAGTCGAGGTAGACGGTCCCGAGATGTTGCGCATCGTAAAAGATAACACTCGATTTTCTTTACCTATCGACGCTCGTACTACAAGCTTTCGGATCTCGAGTTTACGTAAGATTTCTAAGAGATCCGCGGTGTCATAAATGTAAAATGTGTACACCGTCTCGATCGTAGAGTGAACGCAAGAGAAAGCGAGAGGATGGGCCGAGGAAGAAAATTCGAGTGTCGATCCACGTTTTATCCGTTCAAAATGCACGAACCTTGTCTCGCAAATGTTCGATCGAGCTCGACAGAAAAATTTGCGCAATCTTTACACGCCTATAATATATATATTCTCTCGTTTCGGAATTCGCTTCGGAGAAGCGATTTAACGTTGACACCGCCGACCGCCGAGATGCCATCTTAATTATTCCACGAGGGGCCTATCACCGTTCCACGCCGACCTTTTCTTTCTTTCGTTTCCACTCGAAATGACTGGTATAATTGATCCATTAGAGCGCCCC